TTTTGAACCATTTGTTGTTCCCTTGTCCCTAGGTTGGCCAACCCTCCTCCCTTCCCCTACCTCCCACACTCCCATGTCCCTCCGGGGCCATCGGTTCCTTTATTTTCTTCTCATATTTTTTTCGGTCCAACTTCTCTTATCTAAGTGGGTGTACAGAAATAACAATGTGTGAATAAAATTGGGATTGGCTTTGACAGCTCAGCGCCAAAGCGGCTCATAAGAACCTGGCGACGACGGCTGCAGCACTGACAAGCCCACAAACAAAAAAGCCACTGACATACAAAATTTAAAAGACGGGGAAAAAGGAAAAAAAAACACGAACAGATAAGGCTGAAAGAAAAAAAAGAACACGAAAAGAGGAAACAAACAAACAAACAAACAAAAAGCCTGTTAGTAGATCAAGGTCTGTGTGTTGACCTTTAGGAGCATTTTCTGGACGAGTCTAATGGGTGCCACGTCCTGGCCCCAGAGATAATTTCTTTTATGCATACCCAAATACAATGAGTCAAATGTCCATTCATAGAAACCCACTCCAAACTTTCACACTACTCTACCTAATCTAATGAGGGTGAGAAACAGTCTTCAGAATTCATATCATGTATAAAAGAAAGGCTACAGATATATTTCCTGCAGATGGGAATTGTTTGGAAACCCTGATAGCACCTCTTCTCCTAGGATGTTGGGACTTCTTTTGTTAGCAGAGGCCGGATACACAAAAAAATGGAGATTCAAATCAAGGTTACTTGAGGATGCAGCTGCCACATTGGAATTTTTCTTTCATCAAAACGCACCTGGGAACCCATTTAAAGACAAGTTTGATCTGCTTTATGAACAGGCTACTTCCTAAGGAAGTAAATTGGAAAATAGACAACTCCACAGTAAAGCCTTAACCCTTAACTCCTGAATTTTCATCAACAGACATATAGAAATGTTTACATTAGCTACTTACAGTTTTCTTAAGTCTCTGTTTACTCTATCTTTCAAAAAATGTATATAATTTATGCCTCTCTCTCCAAATTCCTTGTTTCTCTTTACTGAATTTCAGTTGACTGACAGCTGGATAGGAAATGTAGTTCTATGTGGGCATAGAAACAAGAAGAACTAAGCAGATAGTGGTGAACAAAGCCTAGCATATAAAGAAAAATGAAATATCCTAACAGCAACATCTCCAATCAGTGACTAAGAGGTGGATTGTGTGGGGCTGTGAATGATTTGATACGGCTCTTCTAGCCATAGTCTTTGTTACCCCCACCAAGCAAGGTGCAGCTAAGCAGCAAATAAATAGGCCAACGAACAAGCAAAGCCCCAAAGACTACTGGTGAATATCTGATCCTGGATCAAGCGAAATTTTCTAAGTATGAAAGTAATAAAAGAAATCAGGAAGGAAAAGAAGGCTATGCTTCTCATTTGAATTTCTATAGTAAAGCGAGTATCATAAAGAAATCCAGCAAAATTAAATGGCAAATGACAAAATGAGCAAAAATTTGAAATGAAGGTAACAAAGGATTTGGAGTTTGAAAGGTATGTCTTTCACGTGGGCAAAAATTATGCTAAAGGATATATCAAATACACACTAATATTCCCTGCTTCCGGGAGTGTAACTAAGATTAATCATCAAGCAATAAGATACCACTCATAAAAGCTCTTGAAAAACAATCATTCTTGCCTGAACAAATTCACATATATGAATCTAGTCAATGAAGGTAATTACAGTTCAAAGGAAGATTTAGGGGTAGGGACAGCCTCTGTCAGCTTAATCTATAACAGCCTAAATAAATTCTGGCGCACACATACAGTGCAGTATTATATGCATATTAAAATAACATATTTGCATAAGCAAGGAAAATATTAGAAA